CAGACACGTCGTCCGTCTCGAATCGGTGCCGGAAGAGAGACGTCTCGGAGCGGACGAACCGGCTTCGTAAGTCGGGACTGCACGGGGTGTCAGCGTGAGCGTGTGCCGACGACCGACGACCGACGACTTCGGACCCAGCTCAAGTTGAGATCACGACGACGGCAAGCCGGCACCGACCAGTCCGACCCGGCGCAATCCAGCCCGAAACAGTCCGAAACAGTCATCGAGTCGGCGCCTCGGAGTACTAGACTGAATCCTAGGCTGCACACCCAAGTCACAGACCAGTCCGAAACAGTCATCCAGTCGGCGCCTCGGAGTACTAGGCTGAACAAACATCCAAGCCGCCGCCGCACTCACCTCCTGCAAAACGCCAGACGCAGCACCCAATGCCCAATCTCATCCCGCCTCCGCTCCTCGTCCGTATTAACGTTTCTCGCGGTGTTACTAGCCAACGGCAGATGCTGTTTCAGATACGTCGAGATGGCCGCGGAGAGCTGTGCGTAGGGTAGCGAGCGGTGTGAGAGCGATTCGATATGCGAGAGCACTCGCAGACGGGATATCGCGCAGGTCTCGAATTCCTCGAGGGTGATGTCGAGCGTTGGCGGCCGGTCGTAGCTGCAGCGGCATCAGCGCGGGTTGGGATGAGAGATACTTTATCCGTTGTCAGTGCACGCACAAGTTCAGTCGGTACGGCCATCTCCCGCTCGTACCCACGCCCGAGGCCCGCTTGTTGAGCTTGACCTCGAGCCGGGGATCCGACGACGCCGGAATGTTGTGTCGCGTCGTGGGCTTGAACATGGTGTGCAAGGGGGCGACCTGCTTCCTGCTTCTACGGCACCGATGCTGAGCAGCTCGTCAAGTTGTGGAGAGGACAAGAAGTTGTTGAGAGTAGTTATGGAGCCATGAACATGGAATATTGGTTTGGTTTGCTTTCCGTTGCTTTCCGTCGCGTCCACCCAGTCGCGTCAACTTGGCCAGTCTTTGGATCAGATTACGTCAGCATAAATCTCACCTCCACTTGGACCGCACCGCTGGAACCTCTCAATCCATCTCCATCTCCATCTCCACTTCATCCCACCTTTGTCCTCCTCGTCACGCGCCATGCGCAACCTCGCCATCTACCTCTCCGCCCTCTCCGTCCTCTCCCCTCCGACCTCCGCACTGCGGCATGGCGCCTCCCAGCTGCGCGACGTCCTCGCCTTCCCCAAATACGAGGTCCAGTTCCTCAACGACCTGCCCCTCGCGGAGAGCGATGCGCGGCGATGTCGCTCGTTGGGCATCGAACGGGAGGAGGAGTGGATGGGTCTCAGAGCGCCTTTTGTGGATGGTCGGAGGCTCGGGGATGGGAACGAGCAAATACCTTCCGAGGTGGGTAGGGCTCCGGCGGACACGATGTCGCGGACGCATCGAGTTCGCTGATGTGTGGTTCGTTCGTAGCACCGCTTGGAGCTCCTCCCGATGAGCCTCACACCCCCCGGGACAGACTGGGATCCACAGCCATACCTCTGCCTGATGCCTTCGGAGAACAGTACCGCGGCGCAGACTTCGCAGGCAGAGCGGGAGGATCGGGAGGAGGAGCCGGATCCGGCTCAGAGCTGGTCCGCGCTGAGTCACCTGGATGGGAAGTGCCTGTACTCGAAGCAGGGCTGGTTTACCTATGCGTGAGTGTGCGGCGCGGATCTGTTTGAGATCGGCGCATACGCGTTCTTGTGCTGGCAACAGTGGCAATGACGACACACAGAGGCAATGAGGAAATCAAGCCGGCTCCAACGCTGACCCGCCGTAGGTATTGCCACGACTCGCACATCCGGCAGTTCAGGGAGGCGCGACATGCCCATCCTCACCCTGCGTCCGGCTACACTCCCGAGGAGGACCCCAACTTTGACGCCTACACGCTCGGCCAGGCGCACGCGCATCCCAAAAAGGCCAAATCCCTCCCCGGGCATTCCGTCCAGGGCCAGAAACCCGGGAAACCCACCACATCAGTCGACCGTGCTCGGGCAGACGAACACTCCGTCTCGCCCGGTCTGGGCGCTTCGTCCCGATACCTCGTTCAGCGGTGGTCTGACGGAACTCGGTGCGACAAGACTGGCCGACCGCGCGAGATCGAGGTCCAGGTACACTGCAGCATGACAACCAACGACATGATCTACATAGTCAAGGAAATGGCGATTTGCCAATACGTCATCATCATCCATTCGCCCCATCTGTGCTCCTTGCCGGGATTCAAGGCGGATCTGAAGCTCGACGTACAGCCGGCGCCGATCAGGTGTCGCCAGGTGTTGAGGGACGATGATTTTGAGAGGTGGGCGAATGGCGATGAGCAAGGTCATGGTGGTTGGGCACCAAGGATGGAGGTTCCGCTCAGGACCGTGGGGCATGGGTCCGGGTCCGGAGATGAGAGGGCGTCGTTGCGCGAGCTGCTGGCGAAGGCGATGGGGTCCATCGGGGACAAAGAGGAGGTCAGACAGGGAGACGAGGCTGCAGGTGAAGGTGTTGGAGGGGGACAAGGACAAGGCAACGACGACGGCCACGTCCCGCTCGAAGGCGAGGAAATCGTATTCATCTCCCTGGAAGATCTGGCCGAAGGCGACGGACAGGTGGTCATCGACGCCGACTTTCTGGCTGGCGGTGAGGGCCTGCGGGACAGACTCGGCGCGGCGGATCGGCAGATGATTCTTGGCTTGGTGAAGGAGTATCTCGAACGGAAGTCGGGCGGTGATCGACCGGATGCCACTGACAACAATGACGGCGAGGGCGAGAGCGACGGGAAGGCGGACAAGCGCAGACGGGATGAGCTGTGATCGGCGTGTTGCTCGTAGGCGGATAGGTACATTCCGATGTCACTTTGCATTCCCACAAAAGGCTCGATGGGGTTCTATGGCTACAAACTACAATACACGGCACGTTTCACACCGTTGATTCGCACTTTGTGTCTCACCGGGCCGCGCTCCTTCGCCCGGAAGAAAGCAATACTTCGTTGCAGTCCCTGCAGATCCGGCCAACAACCTTCACCTCCTTGACGGCTGCTCCTCCGGATCCCCGTCCGAGGAAGATACCGTCCCAGTGCATCTCCATCTGTACCGCCCAAGTGAGCTCTACCGGTTCGGCCATCCATCCGCCCTGGGCGTGGCCTTTGCCCGCTTCGCCTGCTCCGGGTACATTCGACCGCGACGAGCTCGTACCAGCCGGCGTCGGCGTCGCGGCTTGGGGTGTCTCCGTGGCCGACCGCGACTGCGGTGCCATGATAAGCCTTCTACAGAGATCGCAGCGGTACGAGTCCTCCACAAGCTTCGCCAGGTGGGTAGGCAGCGCCGCGAGCTCTTCCGGGAGCAACACGTAATCCAGTAGCAGACCCAGGACGATCTCGAGCAGACTCTTTGCGCCGAGCTGTCTTGACGAAGGTAGCTTGTCAGGATGGGCTATGGCCGATTGAGCGATCCACCGTGCCGGGTGAACGATGCGTATGGAGGGGAGGTTCTTGTCGAGGCGGGTACGGCGGATGCGGAGACGACGGAGAGCGCGGAGCTTGAAGAGGGATATGGGCAGGCAGGAGAGGTGATTGAGCGATACGTCGAGGACTTCAAGAGAGGGGAACGGGAACGGGAACCAGCTGGGAAAGACTGCGATACACACACGGTGTTGTGATCAGCAGGGTGACATGTTTTGTTGTGTGGTCTGATGGGGGTGAGGGCAGACATACCAGAGAGGTCATTGTAGCTCAAGGACAAGTGGGTGACGTCGCAGGCGTCATAGTGGAAGAGACCGAGTAAACTGGCTAGGTCGAGGTCCTCGAGCTGCTCGGGCCGTATGAGGAGGTGAGACAGGTCCAGTGTGAGGGGACGGGAGAGATGTAGAGCGAGATAAGCCAGCCGGAGGAGTATGATGGGTGGCGCGGACAATACCTCCTCGAGCTGGTCGCGCTTTGAGGGAGTATCAGTTGCACTCTTGTTTAAGAGGGGTGGGAGAGAGGACTCACGCTGAGAGTACCGTACGCGAAAGGAGGTAAGCGAGCTGCGAGCGATTGCCAGCGCTTGAGCAGAGTCGGGATGGCGCGAGCCTCGGAGCGGGAAAGAGACGAGCGAGCAGTCTTGTTCCCCGCGAGGGGGATGACGACGGTGTCGACGAGAAGAGTGAGCACGGCTGCGTCGTGTAAGAGACATGCTCCATCCCTGTGTTGATCTTCGATAGAGCAGGAATAGTAGAGGAAGACAGAGCAGGCCACTCACCCAAAGCCCGGCGAACCGCTTCGTCCTCATCGCCCTTGAACGACTTCAACACCGACTTGAGCTCCTGCAGCACGCTCGCCAGCTTGCTCCACGGCTCGTGGACTTCCAGCATCTGGCCCGTACATCTCTTCTTCCTCTTGAAGAGACGCCTTCTCTTGGGCTCATCTCGTACCGTCGCGGGCAACGCTCCCGCTCTCGCTCCTGTCCGCCCCGTATCGCGTGCGTCGCCCTGACGTTCCTCCCATTCCCCTTTCCTCGCCACCAAGCTCAGAGCGAGACGAAGCGCCTCATACACCCCCTCCCGAAGCCGGGTGAGTCGGTGCGGTACCCTCTCGAGATCCTCAGCCGGCGAGTCCTCGCTTTCAGAAGAGGATAAGGACCTCCGCGAAACAGACGGAGAGAGTGGGTAGCGAGGCGAAGCGGAGGTGTCCCCAAGCGAGGAGGAATCGGATGGGGTAGGAGTCTCGTCCTCTGAATCAGAGGCGGACGAGTCGGATGAGTAGCGATCGGCGCCGGAGTAGAGCTCGCGCAGAAGAGTGTTGGAGAGGGCGAGGGGCATCCTACGCGCGGAGAACCATGTTGAGGATGCGACGGAGTCTTAAGGATGAATAGGATGAATGAGATAACCAGACGTACTTGACCTCGGCGGGTAGCTGGAAAGCCGGCGGCGTGGACGGAACCGGCAAACGAGAACAACATACTGCAATACACCCGACATCGTGTTAACCCTCTCACGCAATTTCTGCATCACACAAGATCACCCAGCACGCCATGAGAGCACCAAGCCCACTACCAGCATAGTCCCAGCACCCGCATAGCGACAATGTCGCGCAACCCCCGCCCGATCGAATCGCTTCTTCTCCCGCTCAAGCCCGAATCGCTACAGCACGTCTCGGCTTCTCGTCGCTCGCAAGCCAACGTATCGTGCTGATGGGACAGATGTATCTACCGATTCATGGAGTACGAGCGGACCCCTCTGGGGAAGAGAATACCTCGGAAACGCACAGCTGCTGTTGCGATCGTGTGCGTGGTCCCACGATTCGGACTGGAGGCTTCTGTTTGCATGGGTTGGTGCGCTGATCAGGCAGATTGTTCGTCGGACGACTGGGGGACCTCTACGTGCTCCTTTCGACGTGAGGCGATGAGATGCTGGGGTCGATGGTGCCGTCCGACTCACGCGTTTGCGCAGGAGAGCGAGCAACATGCGGTCGTACGCGTCTGATACGGCTCTCCCGGGAGGTAAATACGAGGATGGGGACGAAGACGAGGAGGGAACCGCGGTGGGTCAGGGCGAAACGGGGTATCATGCGGGGATATGAGCTGACCTGCTCATAGAGAAGAGAAGCGTATGAAGAGGTGTGTCGGTCGATCCTGCAGGAGGGGTTCCACAAGTGTCCCGCTCACTCCACAGATTGGGCTGCCGATGGACCGAGACAAAGTCCGCAAGCTGTGTCTACTCGACGCGTTCCTCACGGGCAACGGCCTGATCGTGACGCCGTAGGTCCACCTCCCGTCTCACCGCGTATATCAACGCTGGACTAAGCTCACGCGCATCGCTTCACTCCAGCGTCGTCCTCCTCGTCACTGACAACGCGTTGAACCCCGTTCTCAACCCCTCCGAAGTGACCCACCTGTTCAGCATGCCTCTGACTGCCTTTCTCCACTCGCACCCCTCCCAGATCCCGGGATGGCATTTCGGGATCAGCACCCGCATCCTCGCGCAGGGACCTCCGGACGTGCCGCCCCCTCCCCGAGTGGGATATGCGGAAGGCGAGGGAGAGGTCGGAGGGAAGGAAGGGAGGTATTATCAGTTCCGGGATGTGACGTGGGGGCAGGGAGTGGTGAGGATGCATCGGTTCCTGACGGGCAGAGAGGGAGGTGGGGTCAAGCCGGTCTATGGGCTCACATCGTGAGTGGACGGCCGGACTCGGACTGGAACTCGGACTCGTGTTCACTCGGGTTCGGGTCTCTGTGCGTAGAGACATGCTTAGTCTGTGTACCCGACTGACGCATCGCACCAGAGCCATACTCATCCACGCCGCTATGGTAGGGTACGATCAGCGCCCCGACTTCCCCGTCTTCGCGCCGGGGCAGCACACCGTGCAAGAACGGATAGAGTGGGAGGTGATCAATGGCGCGGGACCACTGCGACGTGCGATGGAGGCGGAGGGGATGTTGGGTGATTGGGACGAAGCCAAGGCGAAGCTCTGACGCGGGCGTATTCGTGGGGTAAGGCGGCTAGCCTGGCAGCGGACGTTGAGACCAAGGGGACCTGGTGATTCTATGTGATCGGCGTCTTGCTGACGCTGCCTCGACTTCAGCCCAGGTGTCCGATTATGAACAGATGCAGGTGTCCGATTATCATCTGTTCATAATCCATGCCATATGCAAAAATAATCTGACCGAATCCCTGGTACAATGTATTCAAAACAATGTCTACAACTTGGCGCCTGACGTCGACCCTCGCCTCTCCTCTACAGCGGCTGCGCCCACTGCCTCGGCAGCCTCGATCTCGAGGGCAGCCCCTTACGCGAACTGACGCTCGACCCGCTGCGGCTGGATGTGGTGGAGACGGGGCTGGAGGAGAGAGCGCGGAGGAACGAGTGGTCCCCGACAAAGGCGGGCATGACGGTGGGGCGAGAGTGAGTCTTGATTGGCGTGGAGGGCATGTACAAGGCGTAAGGCTGAGAAGGAGTGGATGGCGTGCGAAGCTCAAACGACGCAGAGAGTGGGGTAACTGGGCTCCGAGCAGGTGGGAGCGGGAACGAGTGGTTGATCGATGATCCGGCGTCAACGTGTGTCAAGTCGGCGTCGGAAAGATCCTCGCCACATGAACGGAGAAGGTCCTCGAGCGCCGAGACGAGGTCGACGTCGTCGCGAGAACGGCGCCGGCGTTGTGCCTTGGAGGACCGGGACGGGTAGTCTTTCGGCGAGCGGATAGGGAGGGAAGGCAAGAGTGCTGAGACGGAGCCAGAGGAAGATGTGTGCGCGTCGTGAACGGCATAAGGGTGAACCCATGGCTGGAGCTTGAGCGGGGGAGGGCGGCGGGGTCGTAGTGGGGCGACGGTGGCGGCGACGGGCTTCTTCTCTAGGACAGCGGGTTCGAGATTGAATTGAGTGTCCAGCGTCATCGTGTCCAGGGCGGCTTCCATGTCGTAAGTGAAAGGGTCGTCCTCCTCTAGGTTTGGTGTGGCAATCTCGCTCTCGGCCTCGCTGGACGCTGGGCTATCGCACGTCCAGCTGAGCCGGCTGGAAAGGGATTCCGCGAGACTGGTGAACGACTCGTCGGACATCATGCTGGACAAGCGGTCGCGTTCGCGCACCTCCTCTTCGTCGACCTCGCTGACGGTGAAGAGGCCGCAGCGGGCTGGTTCGCGCATGCGAATGTGCCTCGAACGATCGCGACGGGGCTTGTAGACGGGCGGACGAGGTGCCCGTCGGTGAGGCGCCGGTGGCGAGATGGGCAGGGCCTGGCGGGGCGATGCGATCATGACTGAAGATTAAGTTGGGTACGGTGTGTGTCTGGACTGGTCAGCGGCGAGAGCAGATTGGATACCAAGTGGCACTGCGCACACACTCACTATCACACCAGTGGTGGTCGTATGCGATGCCGAGGCTCGTGAGGTCGTGGATCGCTGGCCGTTGGTCGTGGATCTTGGGTTGTGGATCGTCGTGAACAGGTCGTGGTTTGATTATGGGGTTCGTGCGGCGGGTTCGTGCTGGGAGATATATGTATGTATGTATGGTCTGTCTATGAGAGCCGAGCTGTTACGTCGACAATAGCGTCCTGGTGCAGGGGGGGCGACGATCAATGGCGTGGCGTGGGATGCGTGTCGGATGGCGCTCGGCGTTTCGTCCTTTGTTTCGGACAATAATTAGACAATAAACCCTCGAGACGAGACGTCGCAGATGACAATGCCGAGAGTGTCGAGAGCGTCGACAGCGTGGGTGGGTGCGTGGAACGTGTCAAGGGAAACGAGTATGCTTGGATGCACGCGGTCGGCGTGGGCAGGGTATCGGTACGTTATGTAGGGGTCGGTGTGGTGGTGATGGTCATTCAACCAACAGCCAACGGCAACAGCGGACGACGGGCAACGAACAATAGGATGGATGATGACAATGGCGCAAGGGTAATGCAGTGTCGTGCGGGGTAACAGGTGCCAGGCAGGATCGTCACTGGGGCCACCGTTGATCGCCTCTTCGATTCCTTATTGTCTTTCTCCCTGTGCGTGATAGACGTGACGAGTGGGGATGGAGGCTGGAGGCGGTGGAGGCTCGTGTCTATGGCGTCGGCGTCGGCGTCGGCGTGGGGGGGCGAGTAGGGCAGGTCAGGTCGGCTCGGGTCGGATCCAAAGGAAGGTGGGTGCGAGTTGGTCAATGCTCTATGCTATGCTCTACGGGTCGAGGTGAAGCCGGGGCTTCTTTCAGAGACGAGACGAAACGAGACGAGACGAGACGAGAACAATAGGGATGGAGGATGAGGGATGCGACGGTCGGCTCCTTATCCCTTTTAGGTGGTGGGTTGTCCTGCAAAGTCGCGACGTCGCGACGTCGCGACCTGCCCTTTCGCGTTCGGAGCGCGGTGCTCTGTGCGGAAAATGGAGAGGTAGTGACCGAGACTGAGTGTGTGCACCCATGCATGCATGGACCTACGAGGCCTCGGAGGGGCAGGGAGGTTAGGGAGGTTCAGGCGGTTCAGGCGGGCACGTAGGGGCTGTCAGGCCAGGCGTTCGCGTTCAGGCCCCGGTGCACTGCACTGAGCTGCGCGCTGCGCTGCGAGCGAGCGAGCACGAGTGCACGAGTCTGAAGCATGCACAGACGTCCAACTGGGTACAGAGAGAGAAGAGGGCGAGGGGAAAACAACTCTGCAAGGTACGGGGTGAGCAACGAAAAACAGAAAAGCATCGCGCAACGCTGGGGGACCTTGGGCCTCGGGCCTGGTCTAGTTGCATCTCAAAGCAAAAGCAAGCAACGCCCGTGTCCCTGGGCTTTGGTCCTTGGTCCTCGGTCCTGTCCCTCGCCAAACGCTGTACTCTGTTACTACTTACTCATCATCTCTTGGTCCTCGAGACGGAGAATTGCTCCTTGACGATGATCACCCTTGCTGCTAGCTCAAGTACGCGAGGTTGAGAACCCCAATTCGCGTGGCGTGTCTGTGCGGAGAGTCCGAGAGTATACTTGTACAGTACGGGCAAAGAGCGTGGAGGAGAGGGGGTGATGCGCTCGAGCGTTTCGACTATGAAACAAGCCAGTCGAGGACCGACCCATCCCTGTGGGCTGTGGGTGGACCCTCCGCCATGGCGTCGAGGGACCGAGCCACCTTCCGACTCCGAGTGGTCCGCGCCGAGTTCGAGTGGTAGTGGATGGATTCCTCGGAGCCAAGATGTGTACCGTAGGGTGACGCGTCGGATGGCGTCGTGGCGTCGTGGCGTCGTGGCGTTTTAGTCATTCATTAGGAAAAGGCCCCGCCGAAAGCTCTGAGCTCTGAGCACTCCCTGTGTGGTTTGCCTCCCTCATTCGGTCCACACCCTACCCTGAAAGAACAACCACATTGTCGGAAGGTTACGCCCACCCCAAGCCGCCGGCCCAGGACAATGGGAGGAACAAACCGTCCAAAACGTACCTGCACACTGTCCGGGGCTCGTCACAATCAGGTCGGTACCGGTCCTGGGGGAGTCTGCGTCCTGCTCACCCTGCACACTGCACCCTGCACCCCTGCACACTGCACCCCTGCGCACTGCACATACATACGCATCGTATCGAGTGGCAGCGCGTCCGCCCGAGCGCCTGCCTGGCTCGTTCGCATGTCCTCTTTGTCGTGTCGTCGCGACGCGGAACAAGGTAGCAGCGTCGTTTCCGGCCGGCCACGGTTTGTGCACTCTGAGCAGAACGCGAGAAGGTCGGGTCCAAGGATGGTCTTGGCTCCATATTCGGATCGGTCCAGACCCTAGCCGACGGACTACCGGACGCAGAGATCCACTTCCACTCCCACTTGCGTTTCCAGTCAGCGGTCGGTGCTCCGAGCGAACACAAGTACACATCCAGGTCTAGGTCTAGGTCTCCGCTGCGCAGGCAAGCTTGAGGCCCGCCCGTCCACAGAGTAATCATCGTATTGCGTGTCGAGCTCGATCACTCTGTGCCTGTGCCGGGGTGACTCGGGTGGGTTGAGGGCATTCGACGTCCCCTCCGCTCATCGAGAGTCTATTCTGGTCCTCTGGAGCATCTTCCAGCGGAACCCGTACCGCACGCAGACATGTGCGACGTCTTCGACGCGCTGACTCACGCTGTCACTGACTCGGTGACAATACATGGATCTGGACTAGCGATTACACCCGGAACAAGTTCCGACACCGCAACACCCTCGATACGGCGGACCCCACCCGGTCTCACCCGCACCCCTCGCTGCGACTCGGCGTGGCGTTCACAGTACGGTACGGAGACTACGGAAAGTTCGGTGGCGCCGGATGAACGGTGAAGCCGTATCTGAGGTCCGGAGGTACAGATGTCCAAGGACCCAAGGACCTACCTAGGGACCAGGACAAGGGGGGCGGTGGCGATGCATATACGAGGTTGACGTTCTCGAATCCAGAAGCTAAAGCTTTGATTCGTCGGGATCTATCTGATGCCGCGAACGTGGGCCGACCGAGTCAGAAGGAGACTGTGGCTCTTGCTCTCGCGCTCGACGAAGCGCTCGACTCGGCCGGCGGGGTGATGTATGTAGCGCTCGTTATGCCTGTCGTGGACCATCGCGAGCAAGCTTCCAAGCCGCCGACAAATCGTTGAAAGCCGCCGAGGACACAAACGCCATGAGCGCGGCGCCGCCACCACCGGATCCTTTCTGCCGCCCGGCCACTCCGTTGGATCCGAATTTCTCCTACCAGTCCACTCGTTGATGCTCGTCAATCTCATTCTCCTCCCTCACTCCTCGTGAACATCACCCTCGGGCGTAACGTCACCCTCTCGTCACCCCACCGCCTGCAGATCGCCCTTTGCACCCGTCCGACCGCTCGAGCTCACCCATCGCACCCACTTCACACCGTCTGCCAACGAATCGCACCGACACGTACCCTTTGTTCGATCCGAAATTTGCCCTCTTCCAACGCCAATGTCATCGACACAGAGCACGATATCACCAGCAATGTCGGATGGGTGTCGCCTATTCGCTATGACACAGTACGAGTGTAGTCCAGCCGGAGGAAAAGTTACGTGCT